GTTGTTGTTGTTGTTGTGGAGGTAGTGGTGGTCGTGGTGGCGGTGGTTGGTAGTGGTATCGTCGTCGGTTTAGAGGAAACTGCGGCCCTGCCATATGACCACCACTTACTGTGATTATATGAGTGCTGAACTGTTTCCATTTTTCCCCACATGCAAACGAGCGAGAGCTACAAGCTGAGTCTACCCGACTCTGGTATATCCCAGAATGAAGAAAGCTAATGCGGAGGAAAAGTTAGATGGATTTATTTCCCACGATAACATTCGCCACCAGAATACACCATTAATTAATGAAGAATCTGTTCAAGGTAAACAGCAACTTGAGATACCAACTGCAGGTCAATATTATTTAAAGGTCCAGGTTTCGCTACCACATGCACCCCTCCCTCCCCTTCCGTCCTCCCCCTCCCCTCTCTCTCTCTCTCCCCCTCTCTCTCTGTCTCTGTCTCTGTCTCTCTCTCTCTCTCTCTCTCTCTCTCTGTTTTCTACTATATCTGCTTCAGTATTTTTCTCTCTTCCCAAAGACTGCTTTAACGCAGAGGTACAGGAGAGTGGGAGATATGAAGAACAAGAGTTCAGGCCACCAGAGATGGTAAGCTCAAGTACAATTACATACAGTTTTTCCATTTCCTTAGCCCTAAAAAAAGGCATTTAATTATTGATTGAGAATTAACAACTGTGTATTTTTCTCTGAGCCGAGAGTCATTGTTTCTACTCTATCTGTAAACCATTTTGGTTGGCGAAAATATGAGACTTAAAACTTAGAGAATATTTCAGTTCTGCCACTTTCAGCTCGCCAATGCTTTACAGTTGCTGCATGTTTTTCATTATGTTACTCTTTAAGGACAATTATCTACGCAAAGACGAAATTGCAGTTTTCATGCCGTTCACCCAAGCATCAACGAGAAACATTAAATATACAGTTCTGAAACATAGCAATTTCGTACGCTAAACATTGGGACGAACTAACTGCCACCGCCCACAATGTACACACCCTAAACCACGTATTAAAACGATGTTTCATAATACTCATCACGATTAACTCTTGTAAACCTTGCATGAAGTCTTTTACCCGAGTTTAGTAAAAACATTTACGACGCTTGCAACACAATTAGGTCACACAAGTACCGAAGATTAGAGTTTGTTTGAGTCAAGAGAAGCACATCGACACAATAATGTTCATTTGTTTTTCGTAAGAGTTTTACGGCACTTGCAACACAATACGGTCGTATAATTGTCGAAGTATAGATGCGTTAAAAGAGAGTAACATACACAAAAAAGAAGGAGGAGAGATAAGGACGACAGATGTTTGATAGGAAAGAAGGAGCAAACCACACCAGAGCACCCGGCATGTCAGGGCCAACCCGGGCTGAGAGGGATACGATACAACATCCCAGCAGACAAACCCGGGCTGAGAGGGATACGATACAACATCCCAGCAGACAGACCCGGGCTGAGAGGGATACGATACAACATCCCAGCAAAAAGAACCACGATACCCGACAGCATTCTTCTCCCCACGCAGGAACCAACCTCGGGTCTACTGCGTGCGACAGTGAAGCGCCTAACCGTTACACCACAGACGCCGGCAAACACTGAAGGAGGACAGGCAAACCCTGGGTTCGTTCACTCATCCGTAGCGAAGGGGCCAACGACCGGGCGTGACGCTGCAGTAGCTGCCATCATGCTGCAGCTTTAGTGCAAGCGACTCTGGTTCGAATTCCCAAAGAAACGCTTCTTCCCATGGCTCTCAACCTGAATGGTCGGTTTCTGTCGAGGACCAATCTTGAATCAGAGGCCCTGCCACACGATGGTATGAATTATCGAACTCTGCAGGAAAACCCCAATCCCACGTCAAAAGCTGACCCCCTCCCTCGCAAACCACAAATACACACACACCCCAATCATCTTGCACACGAAAAGGCGTTGAAAATCAATGAAAATCATGACAAAAAGATTTCGCAAACTAACTAGATCAAACAAATCCAACACGAAGGCGACTACATCAAAGTGACATCGTGCAGCCACGACGCCGCAGAGCAATATATTATATCTAAGGAATAACAGCGTACAATAAATAAAACAGTTCCGCTCTACTTGACTCGGAAGGAGAAAATCAGATTCAAAAGGAATGCTTGTTGGACATGGGTCGCAGTAACCCCTTGCCATCTTCAGAGTCTACAGAATATTATAAGTCGCGACGCTTCTCACTATCAAGAACATTGTTTTTCCCCACCGGGTATTCAGTAAGGCGTGTAATGGCCGATCGTATTTTAGTTTATTTTAAGTAAGAGTATTACGGCACTCGCAACACAATTAAGTCATATAAGCGTCGACGAATAGAGGCGTGTTTGGTCTCCAAATCACATGTTGCTTTGCGATCTGATCTGACGGCTTCTCACTTCCTGCAAAATTCAGACCTCTCTGTACATTTACTGTATTGAGAAGAAACGACCCGAACCGCTCACCCAATCTCTTGTGAAAATGGTGAAATGGTATAGGTTTAACGCCCCTATTAACACTGTTGTGTTATTTAAGAGGCGGGACCTCTGAGTTTCACGTCCATCTCGTCCATCTCGGAAATGGTCGAACCACTTGGGAATTTCATATAAAGTACCTTTCCCAAGGACACAACGTAGGACCGAGTCCGGTAGCCTAACCCCTAGGCTACCGACGCCACATTCAATCTCTAAAATCGTGCTTTTAGTCATAATAAGATTAG